TTGTAGACAAACATTGGGCTTTCCTTTGATATATGTTTGAAAGCTATAACCCATGAAATGCAGGTGTTATTTAAGTTTAAAATTTTATATTTTCGTAAATTTTGATTTTTATCATATGTTATTATAATCTCAAGTGCTTATTATTTGATATGGTCAATATGGGTATCAGTGGATAGGTCTCTGAAATACCTTTCAATTGATGTATATTGTAACTTATATCATTAACCCATTGAGAGCCAGGGGCAATTTGTATATAAATTTCTTTTATTGTTTTTACAAAAGTACCGTTATCTCAAAAATAAATCGATGTAAGGGTACCTCATTTAACATGAAATTGTAAAATATTTGGGCTTTTTTATAATATACGTTTGAAATTTGTAACTCATGAAGTTTAGAAGTTTTTAAGTTAATTTAGAAAGAAAGCATATCTAGGTGAAATAATTATTAAAACAAAGAAGTGGGTAAGTTGTTTCACTTTTTGTGATGAAATTTTTGAGTATTTCGCATAAATTTACTACGGATTAAAATGAATATAAAATTTATTTATTAACATTTGGGGCTTTCCTTTGATATAGGTTTGAAGCTATAACCCATGAAATGCAGGTGTTATTTAAGTTTAAAATTTTATATTTTCATAAATTTTGATTTTTATCATATGTAATTATAAATCTAAAGTGCATATTATTTGATATGGTCAATATGGGTATCAGTGGATAGGTCTCTGAAATACCTTTCAATTGATGTATATTGTAACTTATATCATTAACTCATTGAGAACCAGGGTGAATTTTTTTGTTTTTTCATTTGTCTTTTTTTAGAAAAGTACCGTTATCTCTAAAACATATCGATATAACGGTACCTCATCTTACGTGAATGTTTGTAGACAACATTTGGGGCTTTCCTTTGATATGTTTGAAAGCTATAACCCATGAAATGCAGGTGTTATTTAAGTTTAAAATTTTATATTTTCGTAAATTTTGATTTTTATCATATGTTATTATAAATCTCAAGTGCTTATTATTTGATATGGTCAATATGGGTATCAGTGGATAGGTCTCTGAAATACCTTTCAATTGATGTATATTGTAACTTATATCATTAACCCATTGAGAGCCAGGGGCAATTTGTATATATTTCTTTATTTTTTTTACAAAAGTACCGTTATTTCAAAAATAAATCGATATAAAGGTACTTTATGTCACATGAAATTTATAGACAACATTATAAGCTTTCATATTGTTCAAGTTCGATTTATGGTTTACACTTGTTTTGATAACATATGCAAATACTATTTTTTGCAACGTTAGAATCTTATTAAGCTCCGCTTTATTTACAACTTTGTTGGAAAATTCTAACGAGTAAACCGTTAACGGTACCTAAATATTGTTTGCCACCAATCTACGTTTTGTAAATTAAAAAACACTTCTTTTCTGATCGTCAACATAAGCACTACGTGCTCTTGGCGTTATTGCTTCTACGAGGTAAAATAATAATAATAAATAAATACAGAGAGATCTACGTCTCATTAAATTTGCAAATATTTTGTTTTATTTTCATAAATCTTGGGAAATTGTGGTGGAGCTGAACATTGGTCCTAGCGAACCGGATTTTTTGTGTATCATATACGGATTTTTGGCATCTTCACTTCCATCATCCCTTGGAAAAACATACAGTCCACCCGAAGATATATTTTTTATTAATTTTTACGAAATTTCTACGAATAAGGTACGTAAATATATTCAATTGTGAGCAAGTGATAAAAAATTCTATAGTTGTTTCGCGATCACACACACATATTTTTGTGATTTTTCAATTGGTTTAACTTGTTGTATTTGTGGATATTTTGCACTAATTTTAACTTTAATTTATATCAAAAAATATTTAAATTCTTTTGATCTTACGGACAATAATTTAAAGCGATATTGTGATCTTATTTATTATAAATTAGTGTTTCATTACATTTTCTTTTGTGCGTTTGTTTGTTTACAGATTTACATCTGTAAATCTACCAACAAAATACATTACGGTGTATTCTTGTTCTTCCCTTATATTGGGTACCCTACGGTCGGTCAGTTTGACTATTATCAAGTTTGTTGATATAAATTTTGTATTCAATTCGTAGTTTAATATCGAGTTATTAATTCATCTATTTTTATTACAATTTTTAAATATTAAAAATGTCGGTCACGTCACTAAATGCGTTTATTAGAGCATCGGATGCTCTCGTTGCATACCGCGTGAGGTTTGATAATTTAGATGATGAATTGCATGACGTTTTTAAGTTGGAGATTCGGAAACGGGAGTTAGAAAGACTTTGGGACAAAGTTAATTCGACGTACGAAGTATGTCTTAACACTCTAGAGTCTAGTGAATTTAAAGTGGTAGCGGAAAAATATCAAGCCACATCTTATGAATATATTGAATGTGGAGGATCTATTTCTAAGAAAATAAGAACATTGGAATCCGCTTCAAAAACTAATGAACCTCCAACAGCGAATTTGAATTCCGATACTTCAGAGCATAATCTGACGCTCCCTCCATGCGATATCGACTCTTTCGTAGGGGATTATGTTTCATGGCCCGCTTTTAGGGATTTATTTACCGCAATTTACATTAATAGCTCGCGGCTTAGCAATATAGAACGTCTTTGCCATTTAATACGGAAAACCGAGGGTGAAGCTAAAACAATCGTTTCAAGATATCCATTAAATAATAATAGTTTTGAGTTAGCTTGGCGCGATTTAAGGAATACATATGAGAATCCTCGTATGTTGGTGCATAACCAACTAAAGCTTTTATTTAGTCTTCCTGCCTTTGACAAGGAGTCGATCACAGCACTCAAAACCTTACAGAGCGGAATCGATAGTTTTCTTACGGCACTTTCTATTTACAATGTGCCTACAGATAATTGGGACCCAATTATCGTGTTTATGTGTATTCAACGTCTACCTAGTTCAACAATTATTTTATGGGAACAGGGCATTAAGGACAAATTAAGTTTATCTTCATGGAAAGATTTAGATAATTTTCTGAAGGAAAGAATTCTGACTTTGCAATGTCTTCAAGAAATTAAAGGTACAAACTCCACTAATATGGAATCTTCATTGCAATCTCACAATTCTTCCGTTAAAATTTCTTGTATTTTATGTCCTAATCAGTCCCACTACTTGCGAAATTGTCGTCGTTTTAAAAGTCTTTCAATATCTGATAGAATTTCAACAGTGAATGAGCATAACTTCTGCACTAATTGTCTTTCGAGGACACATACCGCCAGAAGTTGCAAAATCAATAATAATTGTTATATATGCAATAATCGACATCACTCGATGCTTCATTTACAACATTTAGAAAATTCTGTGGTTGAAAGACCTACTGTTTCTACGGAACAGAACTCTGGTGCGGTTCTACGACCTACTAACTCCCACTACCAACAATCACATACGTCCAATAATGTAACGCCCAATTCACAAGTATTTCATACTAGTCAAAACCAGTCTGTTCTATTAGGCACAGCTACGGTAAATATAATTCATAATAACAATAAGCATCAGGTCCGCGCTTTAATTGATTCGGGTTCGGAATGCTATTACATTTCTGAACGATTACGGAAAAGGTTAAAACTTCCCACGCATTCTGCACACGCTCAAGTTTCTGGCATCAATAATGTAGTTATTGGAGTTTCTAAATATTGTCCTGTGGAAATTGGTTCCGATTTAGACTCTTCAGTAAACCTTAGTACAAACGCATTTGTTTTACCAAAAATTTCAGGAAATTTGCCTTCAACTTCCGTAAATATCGATATTAAAAAGTTATTGCCAAATCTTCGTTTGGCGGATTCTAATCTTTTAGATAGTAGGCCTGTAGATATTCTTATTGGTGCGGATTTATATCATCGTATAATTTTACCGGAAGTACAGCAAAATATATTAGGGTCGTTATTGGCACAAAAAACTGTATTTGGCTGGATTCTGACAGGACCAGCCAATCCTAGGGACTTTGAATCACATATCGCAAATTTACAATACACTACGTGGTCCAACGCTTCTTAACGTTTGTTTGAATATTACTTAAAATGCTCACAAGAATATATTTACGTCTACTTTAATATACATACTAAATTTAAATACACCACTTTGTGGTTGGGTCATTTATGACCATGCCCCTCTTTAAGGGGCCCAGTTCATGGTCTGCTTAAAACCATTCTCCATTTGAGAGCAGTATGTAGTCTGCGGAAAACTACATCCCATAGGCTTTGTCCTATGGGAACCCTTTTTCTACGAACCCAGTTCATGGTCTGCTTTAAAACCATTCTCCCTTTGAGAGCAGTATGTAGTCTGCGGAAAACTACATCCCATAGGCTTTGTTCTATGGAAACCATTATTTTACCAGCCCAGTCTGGTGTGATACCTTTGATCACTTGTTTTATAAAAAAAAAAAAAAAAAAAAAAAAAATTATTAACAAAAAAAAAAAAAAAAAAAACAATAAATTTATAGATATAGATCTCAATGTTAATTGCAACACTCTTTAGTGTTGCAAGGTGGCCGGCAATGTTCAAGTTCGATTTATGGTTTACACTTGTTTTGATAACATATGCAAATACTATTTTTTGCAACGTTAGAATCTTATTAAGCTCCGCTTTATTTACAACTTTGTTGGAAAATTCTAACGAGTAAACCGTTAACGGTACCTAAATATTGTTTGCCACCAATCTACGTTTTGTAAATTAAAAAACACTTCTTTTCTGATCGTCAACATAAGCACTACGTGCTCTTGGCGTTATTGCTTCTACGAGGTAAAATAATAATAATAAATAAATACAGAGAGATCTACGTCTCATTAAATTTGCAAATATTTTGTTTTATTTTCATAAAATCTTGGGAAATTGTGGTGGAGCTGAACACATATGTTGTATGTTTGAAAGACCTAACTCATGAAATGCAGAAGTTAGATAACTTTAAAAATTAATATTTTAAAAAAATTTTGGTTTTTATGGAATGCATTTGTATAGATTGACTATTTATTATTCGATATGGATATCAATGCAATGGTATTGAAATATCTTTTGATTGATATATAATATGGTCCATATCATTTATATCAACCTATTATTAGCCAGTGCCTGTGTTTTGTAACTTTCGAATCGACAAAAAAAAAAATCGAAAAATTTATAATCGTCTTGTTTAAAACAGGGTGAACACACGTAATTCAAATATATTTTGGTTAATTGTAATGTGTTCAGTTTAAAAATTATTTGAATCACGCAACTACATACATACATACATACATAAAAAATCGCGCGATTTTTTAAAATAATTTTTCCCCTGCGGCGGTATGCTGCTTTTTTTCACAATTCAATCATTTCACCAAAAAGTGAAAAATTATTTCAAAAAAATCGCGCGATTTTTTTGAAATAATTTTTCGCCTGCGGCGCTAGACTGTTTCCTTCCACAATTCAATCATTTCACCTGCAGCGCTATGTTACTTTTTCCCACAATTCAATCATTTTACCAAAAAGTGAAAAATTATTTCAAAAAAATCGCGCGATTTTTTTGAAATAATTTTTCGCCTGCGGCGCTAGGCTGCTTTTTCACAATTCAATCATTTCACCTGCGGCGCTATATTACTTTTTCCCACAATTCAATCATTTCGCCTGCGGCGCTTTCCAGCTATTTCCTTTTCAAATCAATAATTTCACCAAAAAATAAAAATTATTTCAAAAAAATTATACAACTTTTTACCAATTTCAAATCATTTAATCAAAAAGTAAAATATTTTTATTCAATTATTTCATCAAAAAGTGAAACAACTTACCCACTTCTTTGTTTAATAATTTATTTCACCTAGATATGCTTTCTTTCTAAATTAACTTAAAAACTTCTAAACTTCATGAGTTACAAATTTCAAACGTATATTATAAAAAAGCCCAAATATTTTACAATTTCATGTTAAATGAGGTACCCTTACATCGATTTATTTTTGAGATAACGGTACTTTTGTAAAAACAATAAAAGAAATTTATATACAAATTGTCGCTGGCTCTCAATGGGTTAATGATATAAGTTACAATATACATCAATTGAAATTTATTTCAGAGACCTATCCACTGATATCCATATTGACCATATCAAATAATAAGCACTTGAGATTTATAATAACATATGATAAAAATCAAAATTTACGAAAATATAAATCTTTAAACTTAAATAACACCTGCATTTCATGGGTTATAGCTTTCAAACATATATCAAAGGAAAGCCCCAAATGTTGTCTACAAACATTCACGTAAGATGAGGTACCGTTATATCGATATGTTTTAGAGATAACGGTACTTTTTTAAAAAAAAGACAAATGAAAAAACAAAAAAATTCACCCTGGTTCTCAATGGGTTAATGATATAAGTTACAATATACATCAATTGAAAGGTATTTCAGAGACCTATCCACTGATACCCATGTTGACCATATCAAATAATATGCACTTTAGATTTATAATTACATATGATAAAAATCAAAATTTATGAAAATATAAAATTTTAAACTTAAATAACACCTGCATTTCATGGGTTATAGCTTTCAAACCTATATCAAAGGAAAGCCCCAAATGTTGTCTACAAACATTCACGTAAGATGAGGTACCGTTATATCGATATGTTTTAGAGATAACGGTACTTTTTTAAAAAAAGTCAAAGGAAAAAACAAAAAAATTCACCTTGGTTCTCAATGGGTTAATAATATTTGTTATCTAACACATCAGTGGAAAGCTCTGTCAAAGACCTTTCCAATGATTCCCATATCGACCATATCCGTTTATCAGTAATCGAGATATATCCAATTATATATCAGACCTTTGGAGGCCCATAACTCCCGGACCCTAATAGACCGGATAACTTTTTTTCCATTACTGCACTCAGAAAGTAAAATGCTACAAGGCAATAAAAAAAACTCTAAAAATCAGCTGGATTAGAACACTTAATTTGTTCCATTTTTATTTTATAAACGGTATTTTGTATGGAAATTTTGTTTTATAAACCTTTTATAAAATAAAAATTTTGTTTGTGAATAAGGGGTAGAATATTATTTATTATTTACTTATTAAAAAAGTAAATAAATTATCAATTAAAATAACAAAAAATTAGTATTAGATTACAAAATTGTAAGTAGTAGCAAAAATACAAATATTATTTTTTATCAGTCAATATTGGGAACTTATAATACCGTGTAGGTCTCTACTATTGTCGTATAAGAAATATATAATGATGATCTTTATAGAAATGTGACCAAACCACTACCATGGAAAGTTGTTAAAAGTTAAGATATCTATGATAAAATCGAGTTTTAATAATTTTATTTACAATTGTGGGATGTTTGTACTCTCAATTGATTAGTAAAAAGTTCCCTATAATTGATAAAATAGATGCATATTTAGGACAAATAGTTTGTGCAATTTTTGAGTATTTCGCATAAATTTACTACGGATTAAAATGAATATAAAATTTATTTATTAATTTTTTGTCCTAAAAATATAATGAATCCCTAGATAGATGTACATATTTTTTCGGATTGTGGTAACTCTAAATGGTATACTTTGACAGTTGTATCTACCTCAAATAAAAAAATTAGTGATCAGCTGTTGAATTGACTTCACCTTATAAATGCACCCTGCACTGGTTTGATGAAAATCAAAACACTTTTGATTTTCAACTGAAATTTAAGCAGAAGAAGCATACATTGAAGAAGAAGCATAAATTCATTTTAGTTAGTTTTTGGTGAGACAACATCAAATTTTTTGCCGCAAGGTAAATGAAATATGGATGAAAAAAATCATATTCGAATTTATTTGCAGGCACAGTACCAAATTTTACTTGAAATATACAAAGAAAAATATCCAGTTTTTAAATAAAACAATTTTTCATTAATAAAAAAATAAATAATTGTTTTTTATAACAAAAATTACATTTATAATAATGGTAAAAATTTTATGTGTAACAGTGTAGACACATAATGCATAAATTTTTTCATACATTTTTTATCACTATGCGGTAAAAAATGATGTTGCTGTCGCAAAATTTAAATAAAATTAAATTTATGCTTCTTCTTCCTCAATGATTGCTGGAATAAATTACTAACACATAAACAAGTTTTGATCAAATGTTGACGTGTGGCCATCACCCTTTATAATTATTCTTTTAGTAAAATTCGGCTAACTTTTTTATATTTTACTTAAAAAACGATAAATTAAACTGATATATTGTCAGAATTTTCATTGGCACGTGAAATTTACTTGTACCCCGACAATATAGCACTTATCAATTGCTGAATTTATTCTACTGGTTTATTGCCGCCATTGTGTTTTTTTTCTTTTTTTTTTTTTTGCACTTAAAAAAAATATAAGTTTGCATTAAGGAAGCAATTATTGTTTCAACATTTTGTGGGTTAAATTTTCAACATAATTTGCTGTTAATGCCAAGCTGCCGTTGTGTTCCTGCTGTTTTATTGCTGCTTGTTGGTTATTGTTTTCAGTGGATTGCAGTTTTAATTTCTGAATTGAATTTGATGTTTTCTGCCATTGTGTGTTTTAGCAGAGACAACAAACAAAATACGTATAATAATCCTAATAATTTCAACATTTTGTGGGATTAATTTTCGACATCATATTTTTGCTGTTTACTACCAAGTTGGTGTTGTGTTCCTGCTGTTGATGGTTGCTGTTGTTGTTGTACTGCTCAGTGGAAACATTTTACATACATAACTATGCCGAACTCTAAAGCGCAAACTTACAAGTGTGGAGTGTGCCAGAACACAATTTTAAAATCTCATCCGTGTATTCAATGTAAAATTTGCAAATGCTGGAATCATCTACCTTGTGCTGACGTATCAGATAAACATTTAGCATTATTTAAAGAACGACCAAATGCATTTAGTTTTACATGCTGTGTATGTTCTGAACATGAAGATGACTCTAAATCTCTTCGTGAGGAAGTAAGAGCATTAAAAAATAGTTTTGATGATTTTGTTAAAACCAGTAAAGAAGAAGTTACAACCTTTGAAG